CTTCCTTGCGTACGGATGACAGCTGCGTATGACTTAATTTACTTTCTGGTGCTTTCACGTGCAGAGACAATTGTAAGCACTGTGTAACTGCCTCGGGGGTGCATACTACTCGACCACCATTATGGATACCGCCAAAAAAAAAACGGAGGTAAAAAAAACGGGAGGTTGCCGAGTTCACGAAGCGAATTGGCTTGTTTTAGAACGTCGTTGCCAAGCGACGAAAACCCAATCCCGATGGCAAACACCGGGGGGGGCGGCTTGTTTTACAACGTCGTTGCCAAGCGACGAAAGCCCAACCCCAATGGCAAACACCGAGGGAGGGGGGGGGTGGGAACGATAAAATCGAAAGCACATCGAATGGACAGCAGGTCACTCGGAACTAAGACGTGCGAACTGGGAAGACAACAACAAGAGTGCCACCATATTTACACGCATTCAAATCGCAACAAAGTTTACATTGGCAGCAGGTCACTCGGAATCAGGCACGCGTGCGTTGGTTAAGTCACACGCGTCGTAACGATTGAACTCTCGTGGACGAGGGAGACCTGGAGGTGTTGGCCTGGCCGTTCAAGGCGTAGTCACTTGAGCCACATTGGGAATTACAAAGGTACATACCTTCTTTAACGCGTCTGATTCTCTTTGCAGGCATTCCTTGTAGCGCTCGAAGAACGGCCCGCAGGCGTCCTGCCGACGTTGACCGTGGCGATGAGCGGGTGGTGCACGGTTAGGAGCCCGCAGATGAAACCGACGAAAACAGCGGCAGCAGCAACATGGAGCGTGAGACGGCTGGATGATGTTGTGCCCGCATGTATCTGGCTAGATCAAGTAGCTCGAATCAACGGAACCCTTGGAAACAAAGCCCATGAGGCGCTGACAAAAAGCTGAACTCTGTAGAACAAGGCTTGGCACGGGAGCGCTCTGAAACAAGAGGAGATACTTGACGGAGGTATTGAGAGTCTATTTCAAAGGGAGTTTCTATATAGTGGGAGCTGACCCAATCCACTATACGGTAAGTGTGCACGACACCACAGCAGTACACTGCTGTAGCACAATAAACAGCAGTGTGACGTTGATGCCAGCGGCTGTATTTGAACAAGTGCACGGCTACGCGGTGTGAACATTCCGGAAGTCATGAGATAGATAAATACTTGTGAGATAGATGTATCTTGCAATCTGCAGCGGAAAAGGCTACTTTTTTCAGCAAATACATACGAGTGAAAAAAACAAGCACGACAACGTGTAGGCAAAAAATGTGCCCCATGGGGGACTCGAACAGGGATCGTTCAATCTCGTGTGCTAACCTTCCTACAGTACCTTGTTAGTTACAGGTTATTGGGTCTAGAAAAAAACGCGTCCGTTCATTGGGAGAGGCTGTACAGTCCTTTCATTGGGAGAGGCTGTACAGTCCCCAGGGCCGAAGGCTGACTTGGCTTCAGTATGGAAAGTGTCTCCAAATGCACCGGGGACACTTTCTATGGTGAAGGCAAGTAAGAATTTTTCCCAGTTTACTAGGCTACGTTCAGTTTTACCAACAAGGGGACTCGCGGCTTGGGAGATTGTGTACACAAGTCAGAGGGTCAGGAGAGGCACACAGGAATCACACGGCAGGATATTACACAGCGTACCACCTCACACAAACATGCTAGATCAAGGTTTCCCACGCACGTCTCACGAGCAAAGCATAGTGACGACCACGGTGCGGTAAACAAGCATTTGAGTGATTTGTCCCCCCAAAGTGTCCCATTTGGGCTCCCAGTACTTGGGAGGATTAGCCCCGTTGCTCTACAGCGGTACAAGGATGTGTCTTCGTGTTTTCACGTGCGGATACATCGTGCGACAGAATTAACACCAACAAACAAACTTCATACGTCGGAACCTTAAGGTAGTTGACAACAATCGAGTTGATCCCTCCATTCCATGCGCAATCCGAAGACGAACAGCGAACGACCGACACGCCTCCCTAGCTACGGGTTCGAGTCGCGACGAGTGCGATCTGACGTTGGATCATCGATATTTACCTCACAGGAATTGAGAGGGATGGGTGGAATTGGGTGTGATGTAACGGTCTTGGCCGCTGAACAGCAGTACTCTGGCAAGTGGTTGATAGGGTGCACAGCAGCGCACAAGCAGGAGTACACAGGTAGATGATGTACAGCAGTCTATGCATGCTGTGCACGAACATCAACATCACACCTTTGCCTTTTCTCGATTGGTGCCGAAGCTTTCCATGCACTTGAAGCTTTCCGCAGCGAATTCTCTGCACTCCGACTCCATCTTGCTTGCCGTCATCGTTTCGCGCAGTTTGAAGCTAGCAGCGTGTGAAGTGCAGGACTCTGATCCATCCAACAAGCAATCGGGTGCGGTGCAATTATATTTAAGATGTGTACCCTAATATTGAGCATGAACCCGCGTAACCCCTCTTGGTTGCCTCGCTTTTGTTTTGCATCCCCAATATGGAACATGGAGGACCGGGCCCTTCGGCTGCCACGGGCGGAACCGTTGCTCCATGTGCCTGTTTCGGCTATCGTCGAGTTTGTATCCAACAGAAGCGAGGTGGGGCCGTGAAATCAGGGCTTGAAATATTTTGAGATCCGATGAACCGGCTTGACTGTCCTCTGAATCCAAGACGAAAATTCCAAAACATACACTGGCTCAAGAAGTGTTCAAATCGAAAGCGTTCATGTATGCATAGGGAACGTAATGGAGCAGCGATTTGCACGTTGGCTCGCCCAGTTCTGTTGCTGGGGCCGCGCGGTCGAAGACTGCAGCTACGGTCCGAAAACTCCAAAAATCTTAGGTCCACACCAGTGACGATCCATGCTACTGTACGCGCGGTCACAGATAACCGATCTTCTTATCATACCCACGGGCGTGTGTACAGCAGTGTTAGCTCACACCAGATAGCCTTTGGACGGCCCGCGGTTCGGGAGATCAACAATCGCGCGTGGTTCCTTTCTGTTCTTTGTATTTCCTTCGATGTTTTGTCTGTTTCCCGATCCGTGCTATGCAGGCTGAAGTGCTGCTTCGTATCGGAGACCTGGGTCACGAGTTCGACCACCTGACGCGCACCCTGGTGCAGTGGCTCGAGCATGAGCAGGTAAGAGACACTCTTAGGCCAGGGAGGGGGTACTGTAGTCTTTGTGGGCATACACACGAGAAGATGTGAAACTTAAGGGTTCGCCGCGGTGTAGCGTCGTGTATATCGCACTCCGTCCACCTGGCGTATGTAGGACCAAGTCTACGGCGGTATGTAGATGGGCAGTCGACCCCGCTTTAAGGACGCTCGCGTCAATGAAACCCCCCGCTTTAAGGGAAACTTTTTTACGGAGCATCAGGGTGCCCGGCAATATGTGCCATAATGGGGTACCCATGTTTTTTGTCTGCCGCGTATACTCTCCTTTTTTGCGTCCTGCGGGCCGCTCTTTGCACCCACCACGCACCACAGTGAGTGCAGAAGTAGCGACGCACGGACAGCAGAAGTAGCGAGCGGTCTGCCGCTGCAGCTGCCGCTGCAGCTGTATTTGGGTGTTGGTATGGATAGATTCCTCCAATCTACCGGCGGTCCATCTGATGCCGCCAAAAAAAAGCCGTGCATAACCTCGTCCCTCACCGAGGGCGAGGTCATCTCTCGCTTGGAGGACGTTCGATCCTATTTGTACGCGAAGGGAAGCGGTGGCGAGTACCGTGAGACGCAGAGTACGTTCTTTCGAAAACCGTTCATGCGTTTACTCATGAAACTCAACAGAGCCGTAGACCCAAGCCGCGGGGGGGAGTTCAGGGAACTCGTCGGGATATATATGTGGAGGAGAAAGCCGTCAGGGTAACTTTTGGTCTCCGCCGGGACAGTTATACTACATGTTACTGGTATTCCTCGGTGCGACGCTGAAATACGCTGTTTTTTTTTTGTTTCACAAGAAAAAGGTACATAAGTCTACTTGGACTTTCCTCCTTCTTCCGCTGCCGGCTATGAAGTACATTAGTTGGCCAAGTACAAACTGGTGTACTGTAGTTGTTTTCAACACGTCCCCGACTGCTGTACATCTCATTTTAAGTATCGTAAATATGTTCGACGTCAACAAACGGTTGCCAGTCGTCTCGGCGATGCTGACTTTTCGTGCCACACCCTTCCTTGGCAAAAGAGGCGTAGTTTGAGGTATGGCATGCCTCCATTGGCCCCAGGGATGGTGAGCTATGTTCCCCTGAATTATAGGGACGCAACCCCGCTCAAAGGACGCTTTTTTTCGGAAAAACCATGTGCGTCCTTAAAGCGGGGTCGACTGTAAGTTCTTGGTTCGGAGGGAGGTGCGAACGCGGTACAATTCGGAGTGGCTTTTTGACGTGTTGTTGGCCCACCGGATGAATCCATACCAAAGGAGAACCAAAAAGGTCGCGGCAGCGCCAATGACATTTCCCTTGTCTCTCATTCCCTCCTACGGTAAATCGGTAGTAAACATATCTCCNNTTGGGTTTTCGTCGCTTGGCAACGACGTTGTAAAACAAGCCGCCGCCCCCCGGTGTCCCCCCCCCCGGTGTTTACCGTCGGGGTTGGGTTTTCATCGATTGGCAACGACGTTGTATAACAAGCCGCCCCCCCTCGGTGTTTGCCATCGGGGTCGGGTTTTCGTCTCTTGGCAACGACGTAGTAAAACAAGCCCCCCCTTGGTGTTTGCCATCGGGATTGGGTTTTCGTCCCTTGGCAACGACGTTGTAAAACAAGCCAATTCACTTCGTGAACTTGGCAACCAGGTTACCGTTTTTTTTAACCTCTGTTTTTTTTTTTTGGCGGTAACGATAATGGTGGTCGAGTAGATCATGTTGTGCGGGGTGGAGAACCCTCGCTCCGCGCAAGGGGGATGATCGCACCACGTTGTGTTGAAATGGTCAAGCACCCTCGAGGCAGTTACACAGTGCTTACAACTGTCTCTGGAAGTGAAAGCACCAGAAAATAAATTAATTCATACGTAGCTGTCATCCGTACGCAAGGAAGTAAGCACAAGATGCCGAACACCCTTAGCAGGATGCAGCGCACCCTTCATGCGACTCGCCGAATATCTCACGGCGCTTCGCGCTTGGTGATGTGAGAGCCTGGTCCGGTGAGAACCCGGCGTGCTCCGTCCCGGCTTTGTAGGGATGCGAGGTCAATGGTCTAACGACTACGGCATGCACGACTATGAGTACACCCCTCCTCCCTTCCTTTCAAATCAACTCACGCCGGACGGCCTTTTCCCGTGCCATTGCGGAACACGATGATAACAAACAGCACCTGACGGCTGATGGCTGTCTGCAGGAGGAGCAACAGCCGGCGGAGGACACAGGAGAGTCGCTGGTCTTGTCTCTCGTCCCTCTCGCACGTGAGATTCAACCCACCCCCACCCGCCAGTTGCAGCGAGAATTCTGAGGCATTAGTAGACGGGAGAAGACGGTAGCTATGCTGGGGCATAGGAAGTGGGCTGAAGAGGAAGCTAGTGTTATCGATAGGATGGATAGTGGTCAAGGAACTAGCAACGAAGGTTTGAGAAAGATGAGAACGCCCCCCTCCCCCCCTGCCTAAGGTGTTCTTTTCTGTGCACCACTATTTTGAGAGCTTCATCATCATAAGACGGCCGCGATGCCGATATGGATCGAATTTTTCGTTGGCTGTGGCGTCGTTGCGTAGTTTTGGTTGATTTGTTCTGCTTGGTTACGGCTCATGCAGGTGTTCAGTCACCAAGTATTGTTTGGTGGCGTCGTGGTTGCTCGTGGTGTTGTTTCACTGTAGATGAGGGCTCCCGTCGTGGGGTCGGGCGATGCGTACGGTTCCTCTGTTCGGGAAGGCTGTTCTGGAATTACCGAAAAAATTCTGGCGGAATGCACCGCACCCTGGTAGTCGCTGTGGTTTCCGCGACGAACCGCTTGGTTACACCAGCACTCCCTATCCACTCAATGCGCAGGTCTTGTCATGAAATTGTTTGGTATTTTCGACGACGCCGGTTGAAGTTTGAAGTAAGAAACGAGACAATCGACACACCACAGTCAACGACGTCAACCTACCTGTCCGTGGGGCGGCACGGGCTCATCGCCGACTTGGCGTTTAACTACTTGTGTTGCGGACTCTTGTTTGTGTGTCATGATTCATCCCTGCCCCAGACCAGGCGCGCGTGGTCAACAGGCACGGAGTCAGGGTGCTGCAGCAAAAGATAACCGAGTGCCTGCAGCAGCTACAGAGATACATGGTGGGTGTAGTTCAGGGCGACGGCTTTGGGAAGTGGACCATGGTAATTTACCGTATACCGTCGGCCTTGGACCGAATCCTGACGCCTGGTTTCGGCACACAAGGACGCTACCGCCGAAGGATGTTTTTTCAGCAGTTTATTTGGCAGATTTCCGCCGACGCCGTCTCACGGCAGAGACAGGCATCGGGACCACCACCACGTGCAGGAGACGTCGTGTAGAATACGGGCACCAATGCTGTTTGACCCCAGGGAGAGAGAGCTGGTGCCTTTCGCCACCTGCGATATTTTCATAGCTCGTGGCTATCGTTATCCGTGATAAAATATATGGGGCCTGTACACTGTACGATTTGTTTTGTTTTCTTAGATTGCGCTCGTGGTTTGTTTCCCTACTGCAGAACAAAGAAGAAAAACATTGACCTTAATGACCGGTCAAGCCGTACCAAGTGGTCTCAATCGGCCTCTTTGCGGTAACTCTGTTTTTCATTTGCATACCATCTACCGAGACAACACCCCTTTTTTTTTCTGCACAGGACGCCGTCCAAGTTTTCGCCGACCAAAATGCCTCCTTCTCTCAAGAGCTGCGCCTCTGTGGTCTAGGGGATCGTGCCGAGCAGCGTCGCCGATTGTGAGAGAGGCGTAAATCTAGCAGAGTGGTACCTGCTGCTTTCTGCTTCGTGGCATGCATTGCTTTTTAGTCAGTATCCGAGCAAGAGCGTATATTCTTCGTACTTACTGGTGTATCTGGAAAGACAGAAGGTTGGTGTTTGTTACTTGCGCTCCCCCCCCTCGTCACGATTTTCGCGATGTCTTGTCGTTGGTTTCTCCCGCGCCTGCTGCTGTGTACCATCATGAACACTCTGTTTGATTCCCGCGCTATACGCTGTGCCTCCCCCCCCCCCGCCCCGACATACTCAACGAATTCCTTTCCCTTGGCCACACGCCCGGGGGGCATCTGTTGATCTTGACGGAAATGGGCGGCGCTGTCGTTGTTGTTGTGGTGCGCAGGGCGGAGACCGAGTCGGCCCTGGCACGTCGGCTTGCTAAGTTCCTCGGTGGTTGCGACAGCTTTTACGACGAACAGCCGCTGCCCTTGGCGATGCAGTTCGCCGCC